ATTGATTTTGTAATACTGTCTCATAGCTCTTGACATCTTCTCATAGGTCATGTTTGGACGATTCTGCATGAAAACATATTGCAAAGTTACACTGCTGAATGGGCACCAATAACTATAGTCCCCAAGATACAGTTATTTATTAACAAAACTTGCAACACTATTAGCTATACGTGTATCTTTGCATGCTGGTAACAGTCTAAGGACTTTTAGCATTACACTGCCAACACTAAATATAACTATATGCTATTCAGAGGCCAAAATGTTATAATAAACAGGAAAATGTGCATTAATGTGCATTTGGTATCAAAGAGATGGATGCCACCAGAGCTTTGTGATGCTGTTCCCCTTGCATCTTGGGATCTACTCCAATAGTGTGCATCTGTATGCGCTGCTGTGTTGTGGCTTTGCTTGACAACTGTCAGTGTGTACATGTGTGCCTGAGATCAAAACAGTCATAAGGAAAGATAGAAATAATAATAATAGAAAATTAAGAAATAATAGAGAATTCAGAAAAAAAATATTGCAAAGGCAGAGACAGAAAAAAAGAGGAAAAATAGAGAGAGCATTAAAAAGTGTGTGTGGTGGGGTGTGATTTCCTAAGATTAAAAATGGAAGGAAGCAGTAACCAAAGCATATTGTTTTCCTTAAAGCATATCTAAACCCCAAAACAAAAAAAATATATATGTATGTAACACCCTCCTATTTCCCCCTGCTCTGAGGCTTTTGGAGGAGGGCCCTGGAGGCAGTGGGTGGATCTGAGGAGTGGTTGGTTGCACTTTTGAGGGACTTTAGCCAATCCCCAACAGAAAGCTTGGCAAGGGGATGGACTCCCTTAAAACTGTTGGAGCCTTCTCAATAGCACGAGTGTGGTGGTGGTAGAGGAGTTAGAAGCAGGAAGATATGAGGCTGGAGAAGGAAGGCTACCAGGAGGCCTAGTGGGATGGAGCCTGCCTGCGAGCCTGGAGCTGGAAAGAAGGAAAACTCAGACTCACTGGCCCCCTGAGAGAGGACCACCTGTATAGCAGGGAAGGAGCAGCCAAGCTGATAGGCCTGGTAGCAGTAGCCATTCTACAAGTGGTACAGAAGAGGATCTGAGTGAATACACCCACACCCCCTAGGTGAAGAGGGGAAGGAGCACTCTGCTTGGAAACCAGATTAGCCCTCTGCTAGTCACTGTGCACCTTATTTAACTAGTTGCACACAAAGGACACAGGTGCTTCAGGGTTGTGTGCAGCCAAAGGAAAGGCCTGCCCACCACCCAGGAAAACAAAGGAAGCAGCAATGCAGTTGTGCAGTCTGGGAAAGAACAGAGACTGCTGAGATTAGCAAGGACTTGTGGGAGATATAGTCCCAAGGCATACTTTACCTGTGCTGCACAGTGTTTTGGAACTACAAGTCCCAGAAAGACCAGGGATCTGCAGAGAAGGAAAAGGCAGAGCATTCCTGAGCTAGGGGCAGTCTTTGCGAGGACATTGTGAAATACACAGTGCAGCAGGCTATCTACTAGACAATTACCACGGTGTGCTGGAGTCCTGGCATACCTGCAATACTGTTACGTTTACATCTTCTGGGTATTGATTCCCATGTGTTGCATTAATACAGATTCCCTCCCCAGCCTTGGTGTGTTGGGGGTGTGGCAATGGTGGGAAGATCATCAGCGGCTAATTCAGGGGTAAGCACTATAGACCAGCAAACACAAATGCTCCTGCGCTTGGGGACGGACTCGATGCAGGCTACAACCACAATAAGAATGTCCTGGAACATGCACACCTTGCTGCCCTCAAATGGACCGGGGGAATACAAATATACTGAATGAGGAAAGAACAAAGAGAGGGCCTAGTGCATTACCATAAAAAATGTTTAATAAGAAATAAAATAGGTGTTGTACTCACAAACGAGAATAAAGTGAAGGCACATCATAAAAGAACAGCTGGGTCAACACCGCGCTGAGTAACAGTCCGCAATGGGAAGTGTAGACATCATATAGGCTGACGCGTTTTGAGGACTTGCCTCTTCCTCAGAGCCGCTCTGAGGGAGAGGCAAGTCCTTGAAATGCGTCAGCCTATTGGATGTCTACACTCCCCATTGCGGACTGTTACTCAGCGCGGTGTTGACCCAGCTGTTCTTTTATGACATGCCTTGACTTTATTCTCGTTTGTGAGTACAACACCTATTTTATTTCTTATTAAACATTTTTTATGCTAATGCACTAGGCCTGTAAGCACTATAGACCTGATCCAACCAATAAGTTTGTTACTTTACAATTTCCTTTTACAGATCAAGTTGTGCAGCAAAAGTGGCAGTTAGAGAGTTAAGAGAAACCATTTAACACTGACAGGCGTGCTTACAATTGTCAGCTTTTGTTCATTTATTTAGAACTTTTATCACAAAAGAAAAAAAAAAGTCTATAGCTTCTAAAAAGGTTTTAGCTTTAGTTGGGCTTTAATTTGTTAGTCACCTATCTAAATCTATTTGTCCAGTTGTGCAGCAAAAGTGGCAGTTAGAGAGCTAAGAGAAACCATTTAACACTGACAGGTGTGCTTACAATGGTCAGCTTTTGCTCATTTATGTTAAACATTTATCCCAAAAGAAAAAAAAAGTCCACAGCTTCTAAAAAGGTTTTAGCTTTAGTTGGGCTTTAATTTGTTAGTCACCTATCTAAATCTATTTGTCCAGTTGTGCAGCAAAAGTGGCAGTTAGAGAGCTAAGAGAAACCATTTAACACTGACAGGTGTGCTTACAATGGTCAGCTTTTGCTCATTTATGTTGAACATTTATCCCAAAAGAAAAAAAAAGTCTACAGCTTCTAAAAAGGTTTTAGCTTTAGTTGGGCTTTAATTTGTTAGTCACCTATCTAAATCTATTAGTCCATCTAATACTACCCTCTCCAAATGTTGCTGTCGAAAAGGTGGCTACATTGCTCCTCTAGAGATCAAATGGAGGAGTGGGCGTAGCCCCCGTAAGATAGGAGGTGTGTTCCTGGCCAGAACACTGTAAAAATAAAGGGAAAAAAGGGTAAAGAAAAGAGAACAAATCTAGCCACCACATCTAAGAACTGGCAAGCTGCAACATATTACATTTTTTTTTTGTGTTTAGATACGCTTTTTAGTTTTGTATTGCTCAGCTGGAGCTACAAAGATATCTTTACTAGCAAATGTGATGTGATGTGTCACTGCTGGCACAATCACAATGATAACTTCAGTCATATTCTCAGTGAGGCAAGACAAGAAAGAATACTACCCCTCTGTGCGAAAGCTTGGTGACAAGAGGTTTGTCCCACTCTGTTAGACCTTATAGTATATAAATATTATCTATAAAGTATAAATTACGTTATACTGTGGTACAGCAGAATACTTTTAAATCCTCTATGCACTAAAAAACAAAATCAGCAAAACTCAATAAAACAGATCCAGATCGCTCACTGCGTGGAAGCTCAAATATTTTGGTTGATGAATGAGTAAAGGCAGATGGGAATGACAGAGTCAGAGGTAGATATATATAATTTTCATGAGTATACAAAACAGAAAGTACCTTATGGTTTCCCCACAGCGCAGCAAGTTTGTTAGGATCCACCACTCTAAACACTTTCAATTCCTTGTCTTGCCATTTAATGTAGGGTTCATAGCGCTTGTCATCAAGTAGCTGGTACAAATAATCCCACAGCAGTCTACAATCTAAATGCAAAATGTAAATTAATATACTTATTTAAATGTACATATTATTTCCTTTACAGGTAAAAAAAAAGCATGGACAATGAAATGAAAATGGTTTCTCCTGCATTAGCAGACTTACTTGACTAGAGCACTTCCAGTTATTAATACCCTAGATTCCATGTAAAACTATATGTATGGCCAGCGAAACAAAAAATCATTTTCTTTTTTTCATGTTAAAAAATGTATTTTAAGCCTGCAAATCACTTAAACCCCCCAAAATATTATATTTTTTAATTAAAGGAGAGAACCTGTATAACGAAAAGGTGATAGCTGCAAATTTTTAGGTTCTGCAACAGTTTTTAAACCCTATATTTTTAGTACACAAACACAACATAATTCCCTTTTTTGGTAAAATAATGACGAGACTGCATTGTGTAAATAAATACCAAATATGTCAGGCATTAAAATTGCATGCAAATATTCATACTTACACAGGTACATAGTTGGTAAGGTCGAATAAAGACACCGGTCCATCCAGTTCAACCTGAATGTGTGTGCTTCTGTGCTTGTGTTTATGTCACTTTCATTCTCTATATCATTTTACATTGTGTTCACTAACAAACACATCTAAAACTTTTTTTAATGTATCTACACTCCCCATTGATACCACCAACTGTGGGAATTCCACATCCTCACCACTCTGACAGTAAAGGACCTCTGTGACCCATGTAAACAAAAGGGTACTGCTCCAAGTGTACATCTATACAGGTTGGTGGCTCTGAGACACTGCTAGGTGCTATAGGTGCTTGCCTCTAGATATACCGTCTTGCCCACTACCACTATGACTCTAACAAACATGGAAGTGCACATCGAAAGACCGCCTGGTCTACGGAGTAACAGATCGCCTTCAGCTTGTCCCCTCCCTAGTCACAATCCTCTTACACATTTCAACAAATCACTGTTTTAGTCGTAGAGTAAGCCCGTGACTAGGTGAAATGCGTTGGAGGCTAAGGAGGGGACAAGCTGAAGCCGATCTGTAACTCCATACACAAGGCAGTCTCCTGGTGTGTGCCTCAGTGTTTATTAGATTCATAATAAAGAACCACTTACGCAGTTTAAGCATGAACTGTTGCTTATCCAACGGCATCGTTTAGCTGCGTGTCTTCTTTAACCACTAGCCTACAGGGCACTTATACCCCCTTCCTCCCAGGCCAATTTCCAGCTTTCAGTGCTGTCGCACTTTGAATGACAATTGCGCGGTCATGCAACACTGTACCCATATGAAATTTTTATCATTTTTTTGTGACAGAGCTTTATTTTAGTGGTATTTAATCACTTCTGGGTTTTTTATTTTTTCTTAAACAAACCAAAAACCACTGAAAATTTTGAAAAAAAAAAATAGTTTTTTCTTAGTTTTTGTTATAAAATTTTGTAAATAAGTGATTTTTCTCCTTCACTGATGTACGCTAATGAGGCTGTAGTGATGGGCACTGATGGACACTGATAGGTGGCACTGATGGGCACTGATGAGCAGGCACTGGTAGGTGGCACTGATGGGCATTGACAGGCATCACTGATGGGCACTGAAAGGCAGCACTGATAGGTGGCACTGATAGGCGGCACTGACTGGCACTGGTAGGCGGCACTGACTGGCACTGATAGGCGGCACTGATGCGCACTGATAGGCGGCACTGACTGGCACTGATAAGTGGCACTGGCTGGCACTGATAGGTGGCACTGATTGGCAGCACTGATAGGTGGCACTGATTGGCATTGATAGGTGGCACTGACTGGCACTGATGGGTGACACTGAAGGGCAGCTCAGATGGGCACTGATTTGTGGCATTGATGTGCACTGGTATGCAATGATATGTGGCATTGTGGCACTGTTCAGCTGGCACTGATGGACTCTGACAGGTGTCACTTCTGGGGCCACACTGATCATCAGGGCACACTGATCATCAGTGCCCTGATGATCAGTGTACATGTCCCCTCTGCGGAAAGCTGATTAGCGGCTCTCCTCTCCTCACGAGCTGTCAGCGTGACAGCTCGAGAGAAGAGAAATGCCGATAACCGGCATTTCCCTGTTTACATGTGATCAGCTGTGATTGGACATAGCTGATCACATGACCGAGCCGACATCTTCGGCTCTTTCCGTGATTGGTGATCCCCTGTGTCCGAGGGACACAGAGCACCGCCGATCGCCGCGCTGCGCGATCCCTAAACCGCGCATGCGAGGTGAGAATGGCAGGACGTCATATGATGTCCTATCAGAACGAGAGAACCACCTTGCGCCCCTCATTGGACTATATGGCGGGCGGGAGGTGGTTAAAGAACTTAGTTTAAATAGTTTCCTGCCAACATTCAAAGAGTGGTATATTGTGATCATATTCCTTTTTAAGCGTCCTATCTCTATATCATTTATGAGCAAGTTAAACAGAATTGGTCCCAGGACAGAGCCATGGTGTACCCCACTTACCACGCTAGACCATTCAGAAAATATGCTATTATTCCTCACCCTCTGGGTGCGCTCATGCAATCAGTTTCCTATACAGGTACATACAATAACATCAAAGCCAGAAGATCTTCATTTTGTAAAATAAAGTGGCTGTAAGCCCCTGACATGAAAAATTAGCAAAGCATATCCTTCTATAGTGTGTATTTACCACAATTCAAAGCACTCTCTCTGCTGTCTAGTTCCTCTGCTATCTGCATGACTCACTGCTTAAAAGGTTTTTCCAACTCCAATAGATAGAGTGGGACAAGGGAGGGGAGGTATATAGCTCAGCCCTTTTTTCAATATTGGCACCACCTTTGCTTTTCCCTAATCAGCTGGTACCCTTCAAGTCAGCAAGCTGTCTTTAAAACTTAAGAATAATAGTTTGACTATAACATGTTGCTAATTTATTCACATTAAGGTCTTTTTTGAATGCTGGCTTCTGTCAGCTACAAGGGTACTTTCAATATACTGTTATTAAACTTACTATCTCGTTTATTATATCCTCCCTTTTCATTCATATGAACTGAGATGAATAATGTATTTACTACAGTTGTCTTCTCCCTATCACTTGTGGCTAGCTTCCCCTGGTCATCTTTTATGGGGCCTAGATGTTCTAACCTAGATTTTTTACTATTAATACATTTGAAAACCTTTTGGGGATTTTGTTACTTTCCTCCACAATGTGTCTCTCATAATCTATTTTAGCTGCCCTGAATGAGCTCTTTCTATTTCATGCTTTGTAGTTTGGAGAACAGATGGTGACCCTTCAGCCTTATATTTTTAAAGGCCAGTTTGTTTTCATTTATATGCCTTTTTTACATCAGCTTGTAGCCACCTGTTTTTTTTTCTAATTTATATGCCTTTTTACATCAGCATTTAGCCACCTTTTTTTTCCTAATTTATATGCTTTTTTACATCAGCATTTAGTCACCCAGCTTTTGTTCTTCTATATTTGTTGTCCCTTGGAATTCATGGACAAATGCCTTTGTTTAATATGTACTTAAAGCACATTTTTTCAGTGTTCTTTGTTACAATAATTTGACCCCATTTAGTGTCATGTAGTATGGAGAACAGCTTAGTAAAGTTGGGTATTCAAAATTACCGTAAGTGTTCTACCCTCATGTCTCCTTTTTCCTATAATTTATGGTGAATGTAACTACTCTGTGATCACTGTTTCCTAAATGATCCTTTACTTCCACATTTGTGATCAGTGCTGCTTTGTTTGTAATTAGTACACTGTAAGTCCAGCAGAGTATTTTTCCTAGTTGGGGCTTCCACCATTTGACTCCTAAAATTGTCCTGCATTACATGCAATAAATGACAAGCCTTAGTTGAGTGTGTAGTTCCGTCTGCCAAATCAATATAAAGATAGCCCCCCACCATCTCTAATTGTGAAAGTAGATGTGTCTCCTCCTCCTTCTTAAGACTATGGGGGCTATTAGCATACACACACAAGCAATTTGCCATTTGTTTCAGCCCTTTAAAGATCTAACCACAAAGTGCATCTGCTCACTAGTCCCATTAGCAATGTCATCCCTCACAGTCACTATAAAATCGCTCCTCACATACAGGCACACCCTTACCCTCTCTTCTGCCTACTCTGTTCTTGTCAGACTTTTCAGCCAGGTGATGCTTAAAGTTAACCCTAAATGCTGGCCCTAGAATTACTCCTGTCAATCTGGCATGTGTGGCAATACCCAATGTGAAAAATGTGAATACGTGTGTACGTATTTATATTGTGTAGAGCAATATTTTAAAACACTTTTTATTTATTTATTTTACTAAACTTTATTGCTATCACGAGGTGCCTGAAAAGCCCCCTATGTGATAGCATTTGGCAGGAGACAGGCTCAATTTAATGAAACACCTAGGGTCTATTAGACTCTAGATGGCTTTCCCGCCCTGAACTTCAGCACATGGAACGAAAACTATGCTTGATCTGCTTTTTTCTCTGACCAGATTTACCAGGGCTTGACAGCTCTGACAGAGCAGAGCACTTCTGGGTTCACTCCACAGAGGGGAGATCTGTTCATAGCACCAGTCCCATGAGCAGCAGAGGGTACATTGCCCAGATCATTTATATATTGTGGCCAGGACAAAAGTTAAAAAAAAGCTCATGACTGCAATTGCAGCTGTGAGCTTGTTTGAAGGTGGCAATGTGGGCCATGTCATTGGCAGAAAAAAAAATTAAAGCCCACCTACAGCCAAAAACATTATTTTTTCTTTGGATAAAGTAAGTAAAGCTTAGAACTTTTCTTATGGTTCAATTTCAATCTGAGTCCCCTTTGGAGATAATTTTTTTCTCACTTTCTGTCTTAGTAATAGTAAGTCAGAGGGTATAGAGAACAAAGACTGGTACAAAAATATATATTTTAATACAGTAAGGAAAATTTAAAATCTATATCTGGTTTTTAGTGATGTCTTGATTTTTATGTCCTGTTGATGGCTTTCCCATAATCTCTTGTCCTGAGCCAAGAGGTGTCACTGAGACATGCAGCGAGGGAAAGTACCACTAATGTAGTCACACACACGATACCCCTAATCCAGCCAGTAGAATCCTGACAGGAGTTCTAACCCTTTCCTTTGCTTTTCAAAACTAAAAAAGAATTCATCTGTCTAGAATTGGGCTTTAAGCAACAAAGAAGGCCAAATAAGAAGTTCCAAGTTATGGCAGTTATATGTTAGGGTTTTCATTTCATCATTTTATCACACCTACAAGTACATCCAGTGTATTCACCTTTTATTTTTCCATCTACGCAGCCTCCTTTTTTTGGAGATTCTTGCTCCTCCTGAATTCTGGGCATTCGCTGGGAAAGATTGAGAGGAGTATCTTGGAGGGTACTGTCTGAAACATCTGTTTCTTTTGTCTTTGTAGGGCATTTTGGAGTTTCAACTGTTGAATAAGCATATTATACTATATTATATTATAATGTGCACGGAAACACCGTAAAATCTTTCTGAAGTACAGTTGTGCTGAAAAGTTTGCATACCCTGGCAGAAATGGTGAGATTTTTGCATTGTTATTGAAAATATCATCATGTCAAAAATAGTTTTTTATATTAGGATAGTGATCATATGAAGCCATTTGTTATCACATAGTTGTTTGGCTCCTTTCTAAATCATAATGATAACAGAAATCACCCAAATGGCCATGATCAAAAGTTTACATACCCTAGAATGTTTGGCCCTGGTACAGACACACAAGGTGATACAAACAGGTTCAATTGGCAATTAAAGGTTAATTTCCCATGTCTGTGGCTTTTTATAATGCAATTAGTGTCTGTGTATAAATAGTTAATGAGTTTGTTAGCTCTCATCTGGATGAACTGAGCAGGCCAGATATTGAGCCATGGGGAGCAGAAAAGAAGTGTCAAAAGATCCGTATAACAAGGTATTAAAACTATACAAAGATAGAAAAGGATATAAAAAGATATCCAAAGCCTCAAATATATATTATTATTACTATTATTATTATACAGGATTTATATAGCGCCAACAGTTTGAGGAGCGCTTTACAAAATTAAGGTAGATATTACAGTTATTATTTTATTATTATTATACAGTATTTATAAAGCGCCAATGGTTCGCTCAGCGCTGTACATTACAAAGGAGGACAGAACATGTGACAGAACAATACCAATACAATGCAAAACATAAGGGGATCAAGGGCCCTGCTCTTTCGAGCTTACAATCTAGGAGGGAGGGGATAGTGGTACAGGAGGAGATAGCTGTGGGGGATGGAGTGGTAGGAAGAGTGGAGGAGGTCGGCAAGTTAGCAGGGGGTGGGGTAGGCTTCCCTGAAGAGATGGGTTTTCAGGGTGCGCCTAAAGGAGAGGAGAGTAGGTGATAATCTGATGGGTTGGGGCAGGGAGTTCCAGAGGATGGGTGACACCCTGGAGGCGGGCATGGGAGAAGGAGACCAGGGAACTAGAGAGAAGGAGGTCTTGTGAGGAGCGGAGTGTGCGTGCTGGGGCGGTACTTGGATATTAGGTCAGTGATGAAGTACGGGGCAGTATGGTGGACAGCTTTGTACGTCAGTGTTAGGACTTTGAATTTGATCCGTTGCGCAATCGGAAGCCAGTGGAGGGATTGGCAGAGGGGGGGTGGCAGAGATGGAGCGGTTGGAAAGGTGAATGAGTCTGGCAGCCGTATTCAGGATCGACTGAAGCGGGGATAGCCAGCGGCGAGGCAGGCCAGTGAGGAGGGAGTTGCAGTAGTCGAGTCGTGATATGATGAGGGAGTGGATGAGCTGTTTAGTGGTTTCTGGGGTTAGGAACGTGCGTATTTTGGCGATGTTGCGGAGGTGGAGTCTGCATGAGTTTGTTAAAGATTGGACTTGGGGCTGGAAGGATAAGTTGGAGTCCAGAATGACACCAAGTACTCTGGCCTGCGGGGCGGGTTTGATGGTGGCGTTGTTGGATGTGATGGAGAAGTCAATGGGGGGTGGTGTCCAGGCTGGGGGAAGACAAGAAACTCGGATTTGGAGAGGTTCAGTTTAAGGAAGTGGAGCGACATCCAGTCTGATATGTCGCTCAGTAGGTGTGTGATTCGGGCAGAGACCGAGGGGTGAGGTGGGGGGTTGAGAGATAGATTTGTGTGTCGTCGGCATAGAGGTGGTAGTTGAAGCCATGAGAGTGTATGAGTTGGCC